TAAAGATGGTTTTAATATCTTTGAGTTGTTTTGAAAAAAGTAGGTTTTGTTTAAAATAGTTATTAGATATAGTTCTAAACTTGTAATATTTATAAAGTAGGCTTGCTACTTGTTGTACAGTTATTTTATTGTTTTTTGTATTAAAAGAAAACAATAATTGTACATGATTGTTTAGTTGGTAATAAGCTATAGATAATAATTTATTTTTTAAAGATAATGCAAAGTAATTAGAAGGTATTCTTATAAAATTGTAGTAATCTGCTAACTTATTTCTAAGATAACTAAAGCTTGCTAGTTGTTTTGAGTCAATAATTGAAGAGTATTATTTTAGTTCTTCTTTTAGATTTTGTGATAGTTAAGATAAAGTTATAAAGTAAGTATTAAGCAGAGTTTTAAAATTAAATAAAATATGAAGAGTAGTTGCTACTGCTCTTATTAGTAATTTTTTCTTAATTAGTAAGTTAAATGATAAAATTTCTATTATTTCTGCATCTATATTTTAAGATACATTTGGCAAACTTGCTTTTTTTTCTTATATGCTTGGTATATTATATCTTGTATATAACAAAATTTAAAAATTATATCTGCATTATAATAACTGATTAATTGGTCTTATGTAGCTATAACTCAGGTACATCAAGTTAGATTTTACCTAACATTAAAAACTTAAAACATCTATATGAAGTATAATATTATATGTATATAAAAGAATATTAATAACTAATATTGTATAAAACTTTAATACAAACCTATAATAAAACTACTGGATATAGAAACTAAAAAACTAAGATAACAGAAATCCACTTGAAAAGTCTTAAGTAAAAAGGTAGCATAAATTTTTAATGATATTATTAAATCAGTTAAAGCTTACAAAACATCTTCATAAGAATAGATCAATAAACTAAATATTAAATATATATAAAAAAAACTACAGATTAAATGAATGAATAAAAAGTAAATAATAAATAAATAACAAAATAAATCTACTATTATTCTACTCTATATCTACCAAATAATAGCAGTATAACAGCAGTATAATAGCAGAATAATAATAAAATAACAAGAAATTTGTTAATATAAGTAACATAATAGTAATATAATAATAAAATAATAGAAAATAGGGTCCTGTAGACTAGTGGTCTAGGCACACCTCTCTCTACAGACAAGGTTAACAGTTCAATTCCAGCTAGAAACAAAACTTTGTAATCTACAGAAGCATATGAATGTATACAAAGCTCTGTAGCTAAGTTCATATGATTAGAAGATCAATATATAAGAAAATTTTTAGAAAAAAGTTTCCTAATATAGAAAGTTGGTGCTCAATGTAAGAGAAGCAGTGAACATACCAAAAATGAAGAGAAGACACACTAGCAGATGATATAATAAACATAAAAGAAAACTATAAAAAAAAAATAAACTTACTGAAATTCAAATACTTCTGGCACTAAACTAGTTCTAGTAAATATAAGATCTACTAAAATTAGATAAAATCTAAGAAGTAATCTTAGTACCATACTTAGTAAGTTTATATTGAGAGTAAATTCGAAGGACTAGGGATACTTAGTAACATCCAATGAGGTAATACTTAGATATAAATAGTAATTAGATAGCTCTAACTTGTTCAGTTATAATGCTTAGTAATATATAATGTATATATATATAGTAAGTGTTGAAAATCAGAAAGTTTAAATAATGAACTTATAGGCAGATCTCAAATATGACATCTAGCAAGTAACCTATAAGTGAAATCTTTAATTAGATAATGTCTAAAGTTATATATATAACTAGTTGTATTTTTGTTAATATATCCTACATATATAATATATAATTTTATATTGCTAATAATAAAAAGACATACAAACAAGATTGCCCTTGAAACTAAAAAAAAAATAATAATAAAATAATAAAACAGTTTTATTATTTTGCTATTTTATTACTATTATGTTATTTATATTAACAAAGCTCCTATTATTTTATTATTATTCTGCTGTTATGCTACTGTTATGCTGCTATTATTTGGCAGATATAGGATAGAATAATAGCAGATTTTTTTTTGTTATTTACTTATTATTTACTCTTTATTCATTTGTTTAATCTGTAAACACATAACCAACTAGGCTGCTAAACTTATTAGAAGAAAAAGATATAAAAGTATATTATACTAGGCTATCTAAATTAGTAGTTTAACTAGAATCTGCTAGTTTCAAGTTGCAGTTAATAAGAGATAATAAAAAAGATACTAGAAAAATAGGTACTGAAATTTTAGTAAACTTTACAAGAATAGAAATAGTGTAATATAGTAGTTAAACAGATAATCTTTGTAACTGCAAGTATTAGGTAACTATAGTGTATTGCATAAAACTAAATTAGCTGTATGTGAAATATAACAAAATTTAATAAGTCTTCTGTTGAGAATAAAGTAGTTCTAAGAGTACTAATAAGTATCAGGAACTTGGATAAGTGATGCTCTGAAGATGTTCTTATAATACAAAATAAATTATATATGCAGAAGGTTTAAATAGACAAAATCTCTAGTTGGCTTGCAGGTATAGCATCTAGTATAAAACTTATATAGTAATATATAAGCAGACTACTTAAATTAGATACCAAAAGTGCATATATAGCTAGTTGTAATCTCTAATATAAGAAAGCTCTTAAAGGCAATCTGTGTTTTATAAACTTGAATAAAAATAACATATTTTGAAAATAGAGACTTTAACTTAATAAAAAAAATTTAATATATAAAAGTTTATTAATATTTTAAAAATTTTTTATAATAAATTTTATAAAATATTTCTTTAAGAATATATTTTATAAGCAAAAGTAGGCAACACTATATATATAGTATTACCTACTTACTCTAGATTGTTACCTATTTATGAGTATATATTATTACTTTCTTATGGTTATATTGTTACCTACCTGTTTTATAGCTACTCATTTTGATCTCTATTAAGCTTGCATCATCATTCAAGTGATGAATGATTCATGCTTGTGTCATCAAAGTCTAGGTTATTCCCACTCATGTATGATGATGAAAATGTGACATCTTCATTATATAATGATAGGGACATATATGCATCATCATTTGAGTGACGATTGGTTTATAAGTTTATCATTATTCGAGTGATAACAAATTTTGTCAAAATTTTGTTAAACAAAAAATAACTAATATGCTAACAATGTATTCAGTTGCATGTTGTCATTTGTGAGCCTGATGTAAGGACTATGCCCAAACTGGGCACATAGTACTCTAGCTTTCTGATTAATTCCTCGATGAGGATCAGAGTTGAGACACGTAGTGCTAAAATAGTATTTGTATCCTAGCTTTGTATAATGCACTCAAATATCACTCAAGGATGAGGCACATAATGTCAAATAGTTATCCTTACCTGGTGGCTCACAAAAGCATAATTTTATTTTATATATATATCTGAAATAATTTTACCTTTGTGGGCCACTTTTTTTATTTGAAATAATACTTATCTAATGCACTTGATTATTAATCAAGAATGAGGCATTACATGCCGAATTGTTATCCTTATCTGGTGGCCCATTAAAGTACAATTTTATTTTATATATATGTGTAATAATTATTCCTTTGTGGGCCACTTTTTTTTACTTAAAATATTACTCAAACTGAAAAATCTTTGGTAGCCAATATTTTTCAGCATAAGTTGTTTCTACTAGTACTACTTAAAGCATACCACTTATTCTAAACTGTACCTTAATTAAAATTATATAACACAAAAATGGTTATCGAATACATACCTTAATCCATATACTGAAAGCACTTACTAAAATTTCATTTCGATCTGGCAGGCAGGTATGCAAATCGGATGACAGCAACTGCTACCACAACTCAGAAATCTCTTTCATCATCTAAATCTTATTATCTAAAATTATATGACACAAATCCTCTTTATATAATCCAGGTATCAGAATATTAATTTTTTATTTGAATTTTTTCTTATGCTTATTGTAAAAGTAATATAAATCTCTTTACTCAGACATATAACTAGCTGAATGTAGCAATCTCTCTACTTCAAAAATTACTACTTAACTAGATTGTATTATTTTGAACAACAGTTATGCATATTCAATGAGGGCCAAAGAGCAGGTTTTTAATTTTTTTTTGTATGGAGTGATAGGAACTTTCATTTTAGCCTCAAAATTTTACTTATATTTCAGAAAAGTAATCTTGTCCATACTCTTATGCTCTTTTTCTTTTTTTCTCTCAAGTTTGAAAAAAAGTGATATTCCCAGAGTATAATTAACTAAAATATTCAAGTTAAATTTTAATATTATAAAAATGCAAAATTATAATAAGATTGATACTAAAGCCTTTACTTATGCCAAAAGACATGAAGGACAATGCTTGACTAAAGTTAGATCAAATTCTAATATTTATTTATGGGTTTGTAAAAATTAGCATCGATAGGAAGCATCCTATAGAGATATAAAATGAAATTATAGGTAGTGCAATAGTTGTTCTCATATATTTGAAAGATCATGTTAATATATATTCGAAGAATTATTACATAAAAAATTCCCACCTCGAAAACCTAAATTTTTAGGAGGCTTACAACTTGCTGGATATAATGAGGAATTATATTTGGCCTTTGAATACAGTAGTAATCAGCATTATTAAATCATTTCTTTTTTCCATCCACAAGGACAAATTAATTTAGATGCACAAATTCAACATAATTGGAAGAAGAGAGCACTCTGTTTTAAGAAAGGTATAATTTTTATCACAATTCCTTATTGTGTTGTTGATTTGCCAACTTTCATCAAGAGTGCCTTGAATGCATTCAGTTTTCTCTCAATACCCACCTAGAAGGTAAATGAACATCCTTTACAATTTAAAGTTCTTCTCTCATGAATGGGTGTCTTGGACCATTACGTAGCTTGTAGAAAACTGGCTAGTTAGTTTTCCTTGAAAATGATTCAATCGAAAAAATTTCAGAAGACTAGTTACAATCAGTAGCCCTCCTTCTTCAGCCTTCTAGTTTACTAGGTTCTAATAGATGCCAAACTTTAATATCAGATGATAGAAGGGGTTCATCATAACCTATAGGCCTTTTGTGCTTGACAGCTGGATCTGCAAAGATTTTCTCATCTTCTAATGATTTTTTTACAGCTTCATTAAGTGATATGTATATTAACTTCATAGGAGAATCATTATATTTATCATTGTTAATATGAAGGCTAACAACCTACTCCCTAGATCTATCAGTCAATGGTAAATACAAGTCTATAGCATCTTGGCAAAAAAAGGCATGTTTTTCAAATTCTTGGTAATCTCACTCGGTGATAGCCATACTTTGTTTAGATTTAGTATACTAAATTCTTATGCCATGTCTGAGAAATAAATTCCTACACTCACCTATATATTCAGTTCCTTTATTTATGATTAAAACTTTTGGCTAGCTAAGTAGGCAATTTGGATTATCATAAATTTTCTGAATCTCTTTAGCCATTTGTGTAGCTGTTTTATTAGTCAAAGTGAAACTGTGCCAATATCTAGTTGCAATATCCTTTATTATTTCTCAGTATTTATAAGTTTGATTGCCAACTTTATCGTGAGGCATAAGTGTAGTATCAGACTGGTGTACTTTATTCAATGTTCGTATATTGTTAAAAGAAGCATATTGAATAAATTTTGGCTGAGGTTTATGGATCTGATATAAGGCCTGTTTGTTAAGCCAATTTTTTATTATAGCTAAAGTGAACTCATATTCTGCCTTCTTATAAGCATCCTGCATTTTTTCAGCTGTCTGATAATAACCTTTAGGCTTATAATAAATTTTTTGCAAAGTAATCTTTCTATCCAAATTACAGGCCCTTTGTAGATCAATATAAATTATGAATTTTTCTATTTCTTTGTTTTATTATAGTAATAAAAAAGATGAATGAGTTACAACAATCTAACCAAGAACTCTATGAGGTAGTATCACAATTAGCAAAATCAAATAGGAATTTTGAACAATGTTTATATACCTTAGAAAGAGTTATAGGTATATGAGAAGAGAGAATATAATTTCTTGAAAAAAAGAGTTAAATAATGCTATCAAACTCTTTACACAAGAGAAAGAAGAATTAATAGAAGAAATTTCAAAATTAAAAAGAATTGTTTACCAACTCGAGAAAGAAAATAAAAGAAATGACAAAGAAATTTTTAATAAAAATAGATTAATATCAGAATTCGATGAACGCAAAACAAAATTAAAAACCTGAATATAAGAGATATCTAAATCGGCTAGAAATATGCCTAAAGCACAAAATTATACAACCAGATTAGTAGATGAAAATAAACAGCTTAAATGAGAAATAAATATAATAAGAACTAATCAAATAAATAGGATTAATAAAATAACCTAGCAAAAAAACCATATTATAGATCTTCTTTGTCAAAATTTTGCATTAACATTATTAAGATATTGAGATAAATTAGAACTTATAAATACTTGAGAGGCTTTACAAAATGCACAAGCATGGAATTTTAATGAAAACAAATTTGACTCTGATAAAAATTCTTTAGATATTTATAATTTTGATCAAAATTTAAATATAGGTATAATAGCTAAGTTAGCTGATGCTATAGACCGATCTCTAAATGATATAGCAATATGTAAAACTGTTTTAACAAATTAAATTAAAAGATCAACAAGATCAATCTGACATAAATACACTAACCTACAACAAGATCTGGTAAATGTACAATGAGACCAAGATATGTATAGGCAGGAGCGAGATCAGGTATTGCTTGATCTTCAGCAGTTGTGAATAATGCTCAAAATTAAGTAAACAGAATGTTAGACAATATAACAGGAAAGCAAATCTGTATTGGTGTATTACTATAGGAAAAATTTGCTTTACAAATCTTATATCAACAAAATGCCTACCACCTACAATGATGCAGAGCCAATAGAGGTTTGTTAGAATATAATCGAGATAGGTTATATGAATAATATAAGAAGTAGAAAAATAAGGCTTATACAGAGCACTAGAATATTTTAATTTTAAATTAACAAATTTTGGTACTTTATAATAATCCATCAAATCAAATAAACATGGCAAAAGCAAGACATTTACCTACATTGAAATATGTATCTATCTTGTTAAACTCAATTCTATAATATATAGGTTAAATGCTACCTAGTGATTATTGTAATATAATTATACAAGCATGAGCACCTGCTATACCAAATATGATGACTCTTGAAAATACAAATGCTGAAGATTTTGATGATGCTGTCAAAGTCGAAATTATAAAAGATAAAATGGCAAGAAAATATGCACCAGTACCACCTCAAAATAATTTTATAAATCCAGCAGTTAATATTGATAGTCCAGATACTTTAAGAGTATAGTTAAATGCAAAATATCAACAAAAAACAGTTGAAACTAGCCAATCAGCTATTTTAAGATTATCTTAAGAAAGATTCCAACCTTTTGATAATCCTGATACCTATGAAGCCCGAATTCGTCTACTGTTATTAGGTGTAGCAAATGATAATGCACAAGTATTAAGAACTCTTAAAACTCATTTATCAGGTGATCAAAAACTTTATAGTTGGATGAGAAATGAAAATATAGCAGGTATTAATGAATTTTTCATTTTATTAAAAAATCTATAGCTTGAATGTTCTAGTTTATATGTAGATCAAAAAACTCTGATTAAGCACAACTAAAAAAAAATTATTAGCAAAGCAGAATGTTAGTATTATATCACAATCTATAGTTTCACAACCAGTATTTCCCTCATATGATGAAATGCAAAAATCATTTCAAGCTATATTAGAAAAACAGAAGGCTGAATCCAAGGTCAAGATTGAAAAATTGAAAACTGAATTTGAATTAAAAATGAGCCAGCAATCCAAAAAATCTTACCCTTCAGTTCCACCCAAAGATTATAAACAAATACATAAATTTTATACAGATCAGGGAGATCCTAGATGGTTAAATCTTTTTAAAGAGGAAGCACTACAATAGTTAGATAAAGCTTTTCCTTCACTTATAGCAAGTAAACCAGAATAATTACATTCATCAAATCAAACTGCCAGAATAGGTAGAATAGAGTTAAAAGTAGATGAAATCAGTCAAATGACATCTCAATTCGGGAAGATAATGCTTAATAACAAAAAACCTGTAGCTAAATCAAATTTAACATATCAATACTTTCCTCTTCTAATACCTTTTCAATCCCAATATGCATCTTTTGATTCAGATAATAATGAGAATGAAGAAGGTGGATATAATGAGAAAGAGAATAAATAGCATGCTCCATCTTAGTCAGAAAAAAAAACAGATACTAGTAAATGAAAAAATGTTTCCAGAACTTAGTCAGCCTAAAACATACGATAAACTATTACCAAAGCTTTCACTGGCAATGCATAAAATGTGTCAGTCTCATATAGTCCAGGAAAAAGAATCAAAATCAGATGAATGGTTTTCATCATTGCAATACTTGCATTGTAATATAAATGATCTATTGATTACTAATTTCTTTTTAGATAGCATGAGTAAATTCAGAGGAGTAAATGATACAACAATTAATGCTCTGAGATGGAAAGCTAATAAGCCTTCTGACTTTGCTATAAAGGGTAATTCCAAACATATATTCGAATCATTAGGATGGTATACAGATATGCTAATTAGTGTAAAGGACAAAGATGATAAGATTGTTACAGCTACTGAAAATTTTGCTTGTATTAATAATGGTGAACCTAAACCAATATTATGTTTAGATATGACATGAATTCGAAAAGTTCAAGGTATTCTTAATTCAAATAAAAATCAATTTTAAATAAAACTACATGGGAAGACTTACACTATCACAACTTTTAGCAAGACTACAGAGGTTAATAAATCAGAGCAACAAGTTTCAGATATGTATGATGGTAAGAATTTAAAAAAAATATAACTTACTTAAAAAGTGACTTATAAAAACTGAAGAGTGGCTTAATATGGCTCTAAATGCAAGTAGAGTTCTTACAGAAAGATGCTCTCAGCTTACTGAGGCAAAGACAGACATATAGGAGCTAATCTTTTAGTATCTTTCATTAATTTTTCAAGATCTGCTTTTCTTCTAGATATATCAAACAAAGTTTGTGCATACTGTAGTTTTTTAAACCTATCTATAGAAGAGATATTTTTTTCTATTGCAGAGCTATCACTCTTCAAGCCTACTATATATGAATCTGATGAAACTTTCCTTTTTCAACTAACCTTTTTTGTTGATGTTTTCTTAGCTAGAATCTTCTTAGTTTAAGACTTATCTAATATGAGACCTTCATTTGAATCAGGTGGTAATAAGAAATCATTTTAATTATCAAGATCTTGTTGAAAATATTCATTATGTTTTCATATCTTATATACATGATGGGCACCAATATGAAATTTTTTAGCTATTTTTTTTAATGCATTTGGAATTTTTCCTCTTAAATCTCTAATCTCCTTAATATCAAACTCTGATAATCAGGTCACATTAGATTGATAGAAGGTTTGATGAAGACGATTGATCATTTTTAAGTTAGAATATATTATAGAAAAAAAAGTATTAATATTTTTCAAAACATATTGATATTACTATAATATTAATATATATTGATAAGTATTGTATCTTTTTTAGTAAGCATCTAATATATATTAATAAGTATTGTTTCTTTTTAGTAGGCATCGATATGTATTGTTTTCTTTTGATAAGTATTGAAATATATTAATAAATTTCATATATAAAGGTACCAGTATCTATCGATTTTTTTGTATAAGTATTAATTTTTAATGATTTATATTTATATTTACTTAGCTGAAGTATGCCTCGAATTCATACTTTATCAAATATAAATAAATATCGAAAACTCAGAAGTATATTATCTAATCGATATTCACCTAGCTGAACAGAACTTAAAAACCAGCTTGTTTGTGCAAATCAAGATCAAGAAATTGGAATAGAGTGTGGCAATCAACTTTTTAATAAATGCTCTGTCTTGGATAAAGACAATAAGTATATACAACATGATCTAAAACAATCCAATAAAGATAAAGAGAAACTCTCCAAGTACACTTTTCAGCTTATAGATAAGGTTAAACGATTGTGCTCAGAGTTAGATAATCTAACATTCCAAATTACTTGCAAAGATATTTCTCTTAAAGAATCTAAGATTAAGATAAAAGATCTCCTGTCTAAGATAAAAATATTGGAAATGAAACTATCTTCAACTTAGAATAAATCAATGAAAATTACAGCACTCGGTCTATGAAAAAAATACTAGAAAGTAAGTTAGAATTAGCTCAAAAGGATGCATTCTCAACTCAGAAAGAGATAGTAAAAAAAGAATCTGAGATCATATCTCTCAAGTCTGAATTAATTAATATAAAGAATCAACTAATGAATACAAAGAATGAATTAGCTTTAAAAATTAATGAAATTGAGTGTTTAGATGCTTTATGTTCTGCTTCACAGAAAACAAAGAATATATTAGATCCTGTAATTAGAAAAGGTACAGAAAAAAATATGCAAAGTAAGAAACAAAGTTTCATATCGAATTCTGAAGACATATCAGAGAAATCAAAGATTTGAGGCTATGCCTTATCTAAAAGTCTTGCAAAATATTTTAAAAGTAAAAATAAGCTAGTAATAAAAGAAAATGAAACATTACCAATTATCACAAATAAGCAGAATCCAAAGTCATTGATTCAAGATATTACAATAGAAGGGGCAGTATGCACTAGTAAGGCTTTAGTTAATGATAAATATCAAATTCCTCCTATTATTAAAATTGTCATTATTACAATAATAGTGATATTAATTATTTGGTATATATACAGTAATATTTTTCATCAAACCCCGTCTTCTCATTCTTTGAACTCGAAGCCAGATTATACTTATTATATAATTGCCTCTGGCAATTTGTTTTCTGGAATATATAAACCAACTATAAACAAACAAAGTGAAGTGAATTATTAGGAAAAAGAAATTTTTTATTCAATTTATAAAAATCATAGTTATGAATTCCCAATCCATTATACAAAAAAACTAAAAGAAAGAACTTCTATCTATGAAACTATTTCTTATAGATATAGATAAAGCTAATAAACATGTTGTATCTCATTGTCAATTTCATTTAGCTAGTCCAACATGGCCCTTTAGAATGATAGTTACAGGAAAAAGTAGATCAGGTAAAACTAATATCTTAACAAATCTTTTTCTCGATAATAAAGCTAAATACATATAAAAGGAAAAAAAGGTGATAGAAGATATATTTCTTGTGATAATTTAATAGTTTGTGGTTATCATCCTGATGAGCCAAAATGGGCATTTGTTAGATATATGTATAGCATAATTTCAAAAGACCCAAAAGCACCTTACTATGAAAATATACGATTTAGCTATATATTACCAGAAAAAATCCCTAGTGTAAAAGCATTTTCATCTAAACAAAGTATAGCAATTGTTTTTGAGGATTTGTGTCTTGCTTTAGAACATATATAGAATTGAATTGGCCAATTTTTTGGAAATGAGTAACATCGAAATATTTTATGTATATTTGTGATACAGAAATATCATAAAATCACTACATTTATACATGAAAATGCTAATTACTTAGTACTTTTTAATTCTGGTAGTTCATATGAAGATGTTTCTAAAATTATTTGTAGATATACAGATGACGTAAAAAATGCATCAATAGTTATTAACTGCTACTTATACAAAGGCAAATTTATTGTATTTAATCTAGATAGGCCTGAGGATAATCCACTTGCAATTCGGCTAAGGTTTGATATTCTACTAGATTTGCAAAAAGAGATAGAGTTACAGCAAAAGTGCAAGATAAAAAACATATTACTTGCTAAACCCACTTTATAGATTTTTGGTTCACATTAGTATTTTCTATTCCAGAAATTTCATAATATATTTCTTAATTGTGATCTTAAGAATAGCATTATTGCAAAGCAATGAGGCTCTGCTTCTAGAAAAACAGTGAACAACTACCTATCTATGTCTTCAAAAGTATCAGTAAAACTAGCACAGCCAAAAAATATTATATAAATAGTATAGATATTTTGTACTTACAAGAAATTAATAAATTGAATAAATACCTGTATACTATGCTTCTATTTTTAAAAGTTGTTTTTTGAATCTAACCTGCAATTGACTCTTTTTAGAATCTATCTAATTATATGAAATATAATATTCTTCATATTTTTTAACATAAATATCCAAAGGAATATTTAAATTATATTGTTTATACATTGTAATCCATTTAGTATGCTATTGATCAAATTGTTCTTGAGTTTGAGGATTTTTTACTTTATGTCTCATTAAACCTAGAAGTTTTTTATTGTCTAAAGTATCATCATTTGGTAAATTGTTTCAAGCAAGTTGTGCATTTGATGGTTCTCTTTCTCTAAAATTTCTTCAAAGTCTTTGTATAACCCTTACACATCCAAACTCAGTTTGTGGTCTTAAGCATCTATAACCAGTTTGTGGTCTTAAGTATTCATATTATAATGATCTTTCATTAAATTGAATTGACTTGCTTTCAAACCTAAATTAACATTAACATGTATAAGTTTCATATAATAAAAACATATTGCAGTACCTTCTTCATATAGTTTACCTTTGCTGTAATTATATTTATCAAAATTCGCATCTTGAATGTGTGAAGCATAAAGGCAATATTGATAAAATATAAAACATAAACCTCCTGGACCTATTAACTCTTGAAGAGTAATTCTAACATGACAACTCTACTGAATAGGTGTTTTTTTTTCAAAGATCATACTAATGAAATCATAAGGCCTCTTAGCATTGATAACTCTATTAAGAACATTATATTCACCAGTTCTTGCAATCCTTTCATTTATATTGTGTTCTGCTCTTGACATATTTAATGATTATATGAGATTTAAGTATATTTAGAGGTATTTTGATCTATCAGATTTGGTACAATATATATGATTAAAACCAGATTCATTTTTAGAATGAATTGGGTTATTAGATGAGTTGTGTATATTTGTCATATTTTGTGAATGATATATAAATAAGAATAGAAGAGATGCATATTGAGTTGTAACAAGAATTGTAAACCCAAAGGGTGCGAAAAATTTCACTTGCACCATTCTCGTATTCAAATTGTATTCCATATAAAAAATTAAGAAATAAGATTAAAATTATATTTTATATGATTCAATTGAATCATCTAATTGATTATTTTTGCAGACTGAACAAACCACCCAAGTCAAAGTACTGAGCCACCAGCAATGATGATTATGCCCTTTTGAATACACAACACATATAGTCAGAGGCCTTATCATCAAAAGGTGAAGACTCAAGCAAAATTTTTTGCATAACTATATATACCTGTAACAAGTAACCTGGGTGGTCGATCTATCAATGCAATAGAATCTGGTGTAAGAAAATAAAACTATATTATTTATCCAATTTATCTGTATGTCATAAAATTTCAAATTAGATTGTAAATGATAATATTGCAATAGATTATATACTTATGTAAAATTTAAGATAAATATATTTAAACTATTTCTCATTTTGTAGTTTAGTAGACTAAACCATAGGAAGCTCATTCAGTCTTTCTCTCTTCACCATACAGACAATTATAGTAATGATCACACCTTCTAAAATTAGATTTATAAGCAGAGAAAAAAATAAATTGTAGTAAGGTAACAGTCAGATTCCAGGCCCACTTTAAAAAATAATAACTGCATCTAAGAAGATTATGCATAGTCAAAGGCCCTATCATTTAAAGTTATAGACGAAATTTTTTGCATGACTATTAGAGAAGAAGTAAATTGCAGAGAGGTAATAGTTGGATCCTGAGATAACTATATATTAAAGATATGATTAGATTGTGTATTTTCATGGACCAGACAAATTATCTTTGTTAAAGTACAGGACTATTATGGCTCTGTTGAATTCTATAAACCTGTGCAAATAACTCGAGCAATCCCCTTATTGACATGAAGACAATCTAGTGCAAGGTGGAATATTAGCTTATGGTATGAATTATTGAAAAAATTGGGTTTTATATATACATGCGTGTGGCTATGTCATCACACTATATCTGGATATAAATAACAGGCTATCCAGTAAATAATTATATTTGGCACTATGATAATTTGACACAAAATTACTATATTTAATATTGTAATCATTCGACAACACTTTTGAGAGCTATAAATTTAGAATAGACATTTTATAAAAAACTATGTGGGGGCCATGAAGATTCGTGAGACTGGTTTACCTAAAAAAAAATGTAATTAATAGCGCATTATTTTAGACTGTGTGCTTCAAATTATCTATAAATATATATGTACTATTTTAGCCAAGAGGTAGTGGCTTAACAAAAAGCCATAAATATTCATATATCCCAACTGATTAGATTGTTCAGTTACAAGCATTATGCGGGATGCTCAATCAACATACATCATGATTTTTGAAACTAAAATTTGATATATTTAGCAGGTTTGTTTTCGTAAATACATGTGCGCTATTTTAATGCAACTATGTTCTATGTATCAACTGTTAATACATATAAATTTATTTCTGTAATAACATTAAAATTTAAAATTTTAAATTTCCAAATATTTCTAATTATCTATGTGACTTTCTGTGATCATTCCATGATGGTGCATATAAATTTAATAAAAATTTTCTGTGATCATTTTATGATAGTTCACCTAATTATAAGGATTAAGATGGCCCACATTAGAATTAATTCTCATAGTTGATTTTTTTATTAATGAATATTATGAATAATGTGAATAATGTCTAGACCCTTTTTCTTACTCTATACGAACCCATGATAAGAATGGGACTCTGTGAAGCAGAACACTTCATGTCTAAAAAGGCAATGAGTATAATGTTCTTTATTAGTAATTTTAATAAAATTCATATATTATAGGGATTTTGAATTCTCAGATCTTGGAAGATCTAACCCTACTTCTTATTTACAGAAGCAATCATCGAACCTAAGAGGTTGAAGTTGGGTTAAACTCTGGTTAAAGTCAGGTTGAAGTCGGGTTGAAGTCGGGTTAAAGTTTACACTTCAGAAAATAAACTTTCATCATCTGCATTTTTTTCTCATATTTATTAAATAAAGAAAAACTATTAGGGCAAGTAAGCTAGATAGGTTATTATCTACAGATTGATAGATAAAGGGTCTCCAAAATGAAAAATGCAATGTCTGGTTGAACTCTAGGTATTATATGATTTAATGGTCCCATGGGTTCGCATGTATAATTTATGCATAAATTCTGTATTCCTGATAGCCTTTGGAAGTCATCGGAATATAAACTGATTTTTATTTTTATGATGATAACAAGCGATAAAACCTTGACCGGCTTTAATAATTAATGGCCTATATTAAATTTTATGCAGTATTACCTTAATTTCTTATAATCAATTTTTGATTTATAACAATTATTACAAATAACTAAACTCTTTTCTTATTATATGTGATCCTATGATAAGAAAAAGTGCAAATGGGACTTAAAAGGGCTATAAGAGGAATATGTATAATGTTCTTAATCAGTAGTTTTATTGAAATTCATATGTTACTAGGATTTGGAATCTCCTCCATTCCCAGATCATCAAATTTTTTCACTTTGTAGTAGTGATCATCAAATCTAAGGAGTTTTAATTTCACCTAAAAAATAACAAAATGGATTCAGTATTTGGAACTTATAGCTGAATGGGGTTGCTTTATATAGCTGGATCTGGTATTGTGTTAGAATAATGTGATTAATAATGTAACTTTTTTTCTGGCAGGTTCTTTAGATCTAACAAATGAACAGTATAAAATAAGCAAGTTCCCACCTACAAGATAAGTTAGCAATAACATTATTTTTGCACATATATATTTTTTTGAAAAAAAGTTTAACATAAATTACCTGCAATTTAGTTCGAAGATAATGTTTTATATGAGATTGTAATATTTATAGCAAAACTACAAAAGTAAAACTTATTAAAATTTTATATTTAGAAAAAATGGCCACACTTTCTGATGAATTTGATACTGTGCTTGAATTTCCATCCCATAAATATCCTGATGTAATTAAGTTAAGTTATACATTCAAAGATTTTAAAGCAAAGATTGAAGCATGTTTTAAAATTCCGGTCAAAAGAATTGCTTATATACGAGATATTAAACTGGAAGAGAAATTATCTGAAATTTTTAAAAAACCTGAAGATCTTGATAATGCAGTATTCATTATAAATCCAAAGCAGTAAAAATATATTTTTTTATTCGCTTTATATAACAGCGATATATTTTTTTTATTTTTTTTATTAGATAAATAAAGGGGTCACATGGCCTCGCCATTTTTATTTTAACATGATCATGTTAAGTATTGGTTATTATTTATACTGTTATTTTGATTCCACCTATAATTTTTATTTAAAATTAGTAATTTAGGTTGTCATATAAAAAGTTATTGTTATGTTTGTTATAAGAAAAAATTATATATATATAAGTCATAAAACATCATTATGAAACATAATATAACATACTGAAAAAAGCTGAATGGTTATTGTTGTCAGACCTATGTAATAACCATAATTTATTTTTAGAGTTATGAATAATAATTATTGCTTAAATTTTAATATGCAAAATAACTATTTATAAACAGGATATTTTAACAATAATATATATATATATTTTTAACTCTATTACATTCTTTATTCTTATTTCTATATTATTTGATTACAGAATTATAGAACATCTTTAAGAATATCGAACTGTTTTTAAATAAATCAAAGATTTTATATAATCTATATTTATATACCTCATCCTCTTCATCACATGAAACATCTATTTCTTCTATATTATCACTAGGTGAACTATACATGTATTTAAACTTCGTACGTTATATTTTTGAAAAACTATGTACGTTCATTTTACTGGAATTTTCAAATGCCATTTTTCCAATTAACCTCATCACATTTTTCTGGTTGTTTAATGCAAGAGTCTTAATATGTTTCTCTTCTATCCAATAAATGTTCCAGGTTTCATTCAGATCTGTTAAAACTCTAAAGACTTTAATCCCATCATGTACATGAAGATCTGCTAAAATCATTTCACAAATAACTTGCAGAACATGATGAGTTTTCACATCTTTCTTTAGCTCAATAATTGTATGAATACTGGCTATAGAAATTTTTTCTCAGACAGCACTCTCCTCAACCAATATGAGATCAGTTCTACCTCAAACATTGAATGGCAACAGCGGATTATCAGTTATATTAAGAAAGTCTCTTAAGCCAGAAACATCAAAAACCACAATATTTTCAGAAAGGTGTGGGTTGAGATGTTTATTGAGATATCCTAGAATTTGATCCCACTGTTCTAAGAAATTTTTAGCATGGTTAGACTATTTATAAGCAACTATATCCTTTGACAAATGTTTTTTAGTAAAAGTTAAAGGAATTATGTCCAATCCAGTATGTATAAGGAGTCTATTAAATTTCTTCAGATTAATTGATGAAAATGAAACAGTCTTAGTATTTTCTTCTATCAACTTTTCCAATATTGCATCGATTTTTGTTACAATTTCATTAATAATTGATGATGTTCTGATGGCTTGAGTAAGTGAAATGAAAGAAGAGATGTCAACAATTTGAATTTTGAATCAGCATTAGAATAATATTTATTAATAAATGAAATTATTGCAGAGAAAGCAATATAGGTTTGGAATATGAGTCAAAGACTCAACACTTTGTGTCTTCGAATGCAGTCATGGTACTACTTACTCTGTTCTTCACCCTTTATTGTATTGACTAATTTCATGATTCTTTTAGCTAAACTGTCTTTCAAGTCATATTTTATGAGTTTTTCAACATTCAAATCTAGGAAGTCATCATCAGAAACCTTTTTCTTCTTGATAATTTTGATATCTTCATAATCAAGGTCAAGCTTCTCTTGTTTAGATTATAAATACACAAGAACATTTGGTTATTTTTATTGTTGTTGAATCTCTTTAATTGACAGAAGATGAATATCATCAGACATAATTATTTGTTTTTCACATTACTTGAATAAAATTTTTTTAGCAGGAAATAGTCATATAATCACCCTTTTTATAGTTTATACAAACAATCAGATTGTCATAGAATAGATCACATGTGCATTTTTTAATCATAATCTCTGATCATACATGTGATTTTGAATATAGTAATAATATTATTGTTCTGTCATAACAATACAGCAATATAACTAGTAAATTTCAAAGCATTTGGAAATTTCGTATATATTTTTATATGTCATTTGCATAATATGATACAGTATTGACTCGAATTTTTCTAAGACTATTATTTCAGAAAAAATAACACTTACGGCCTGCTTTCAGATACCACACCCATGATTGCTTTTTTAAAAATATCAATTTCATTACAGCATTTGGAGAGAATACATTGGGTCAATGTAGATGAATGCAATATCAATAGCTACAATGCATGGAATAGCCAAAATTTTTGAGCAAAATTCTGAAACATGCACAATCACGAGCATATACAATGAAGTTAAATTGACTGACTTTGGTCAGATACTGTAATTTTAGCTAAGGTGCCCCAGTTGAAAAATGAAAAATGGCAATTTCTATGCCAAGGCATGAGCTCTACTCTACTTGCCCCATTTTACAAATTAGTTATGCATAATGATAAGTCTTGTAATACAGATAAATTTTATATGCAGAAATGAATATTTTTGTTACATAGCAAATTATGTATAGTGACCAAATTGTTAATTCTGATTTATTTTTATTTAATGCTAATTATTTAAGAATTTTCATATTCACATCATTTATATATTCCATTCGCTACTTTTTTGTATGTTTTACAATATAGATGTGAATGATGATTGCATTCATCACAAACCTTACACCCATGCTTCTATCCTCTAAAGATATGCCACTTTTCAAAGTAATTTTTATTTGTATACATGTTATTCGGATTTTTCATTATTATTATATGTATATTAACAGAAAAAATATAACGTGACTAAAAATTTTTATTATACAAGCCTGTAATGTTTATGCTCTGCCTCACATGCATAAACCTTAGGTCAAGATCTGTACATGTTGATCGAATGCCTATCACTTTATTTAACAATATTGCAGTATTAGTATGTATAAACTTTATTATAAATTAAATTATATACTGTAATTATATGTATATATGATTTACTAATAAAAAAATATTTATATCATGTTGGCATCAACTTGGAGGATGTGATCTGCACTAATTAAAATGCTTTATAATATTATAAATTTGTGTAGAATTGAGCTTTAAAATATAATCAGCACTATATGTTCAAATTTTTTTAATTTTTTTAATTCCTATCCCTTAACTATTTTTTTGGTATCAGAGTCATAACTTTCTCCAAACAACTTATAGATATTTTTAGTCTTTGCAGTTTTTTTACGCAAACTATCTCTTGTAAATCCCAGAAGATTGGTTGTGACTTCATCATATACTAACCCTCTAGCTTGTTGGTCATTGTACCTACTGTTATCATTTTTTATTTCTTTAACTCTTTCTTCAAATTTTTTAGCAAACAGATACCAGCATCTTATTTCTTCTTGGTAGGCATGGGTTACATGTTTTTCTGCCTGGTTTGCATTATAGTATAACTGGAGTAAAGTTATTGGTTTTGATTCTTTGCTCTTATTTCCTTTATCATTATCATCAATCGGCTTACTTGGCATAGATAGTTCTTTTATTAAACTTTGTACTTTATCAGGTTCCATGAATTTTGTTTCACTTCATAGGATAGCTTTACCACCATCTACAGATAACTTACTTATAGCCTCTGTTAGATTAGAGGTTTCTTTATCTTCATCTTTTACTGCCTCTGATATATCTATGTTCTGAACTTCAGCTGATGCCATTCCTTCATTATTTATAAAACAAATGGGACAAGTTTTTTGCTTATCTTTATTACTTTTTTCAAAACAGTCATGATGGAGTATATGATTACACACGAGTGTAGTAAATGCTTTGGGTGGATTTAACAAAATTTTTTCATTACATTCATAACAATTCTCTAGCTCCGGTATTGTGATATTACTTGCAAGAAAGTTTGGATAACCTTTTAAGATATTTATTCTTAAGGCTTTTAATAATTCTGTTTGTTTAGAGTATTTTTTAGTAAGTTCTTCTTTGCTAAGTAGTTTGTTACTTATAGTATAGGTTACGATGAGTTGGTTAATAATAAAAATTTTTCTTATTATTTCATACTTATCTGACTATATATTATTTTTTTACTATCCAGAATTATTTGATAGCTAAAAAATAAACAGATATAATATCTAAATCAATACATTTACCTGAACTTTAACCAAATAAGTCTTTGAAATTTATTATTTATTTATTTTGTTTATAATATATTTTCATATTAACAAACCAATTTGCAGATTTTATAAAATCTCATTTCAGATTTGGCAATCCATTCATTCATGAATTAATTAGTATGAGCCAGAAAAGTCAAAGTCTCGATTTAAAGAATCATTGCTAGATCTTCAGTGGCAATTGAGGACAATTTTTAGCTTATGGATAAGTGCAGTTAGTGGTTGGTTTGCATATATAACTTTACTTAAAATATATCTAATAAGTCTAATTATTGTAAAGCAGATCCAAAATGGTAAAGCTGAGTTATAGTAAATAAATAAATAAGTTATGAACTAATCTAAATACTCCTATATAAGTCATAGATATCCTTAATTTTAGAAGTATTCTCATTAATTGCCTTGAGTGTAGAAGCTAGGGCTTCAGGTTCAGGTTCTGAATCTGAGTCAAGGTTAGAATCAGAAGTATTACCCTTGGTATAATACATTCCAGAATTATGATGATCCATCTTATACCTCATTGCAACTCTGCTAAGGAATTCGAGATGTTGTGAAGTTGGATTTTAACTACTATGAATTCTAGAAGCATATTAACCTCCAATTTTTTTTAATCTTTTGGCTATAATACTATATGATTTTAAAAATTTACTAAATACTTCTGTATTGCGTTTTCTATTAATACTATAGACAGGATTGTATAACTTTTCAGTTGCTATTGCATCTTGGATCCAGGTAAGTAATTCTTTTATATGTTTTGGATTCTTTTTCATAGATAGAAATTGCTAAGGTTCGGAATTACTTTTTGCTTCTCCTTTATTTTTAATATACCTGATATAATACCAAGAATAACCAGACTTGTACCATTCAGAAGGATTCGATTTACTAAGTTTATAATAAATAATATAAAGAGTGGCAACTTCGGTAGGTCTCATACTCAATATTATAATTACATCTGCAAGATCTTGCATAGTAGGAATTTTAGTAATATTGATATTTTGAATTCTTCTAAGTTCTTCCTCTAAGAAAAAGTGTTTGGAAGTTTTGGTAGATTGGGTAATCACTGTTCGAGTTGCCTCTTTTGAATTTCATTAGAAGCTCAAATAACTTCTGTTAATTTGGCATATATATAAATTTGCTCAGAACTAATCTCAGCTTCTGCTAACTTTCTACGAAATTGTGAAACATAAAAACTGGCTGCCACAATTGCTTCATCTGTATTATTTTTTGGCACGGCTAAGTCTAAAGCATGTAACCAAATATCTCACACATTTTTAGTTTTTGCACAATGTTGAGCTCTTTTCTTAATAGTAAGCCTTTTCTTTTTGTTGTTTGGAACCAGAGCTTCTATTTAATTTTTTTTAAATAAGCACCAACAGAGAGCCTCTTTTACATTTTTATGAGCCTTCCAATCTGGTAGCATAGTACTAAGCTCATCAGCATGAGCACATAATTGAAGTGGATTTGATTCAGCTAATAGGTTATATTTATTGAGAACCTAATCCAAAATGGAGGTAAAGCTATTAGTTTTGGGTTTTCTAGTTTTTTGGACAGTTGCTATAATAGATATATAAATAATCTATATCGATAAGTAGAATGTGATTATAGATTAACCTACTTATTTTTTTCAATTCAAAATTAATTATTATGAGTTGGTATATATATCCAAAATTAAATAGATTGCTGTTTGAGTAATCTTATCAAAAAATGGATGTGAACAAGACACAAGTTCAATCAAGCACAAAGTGTCATTTTTCCCAAAATAAAGTCTTGAAATCTGTAGCTTTATACAATAAAATTACCAAAAATATAGAAGGCATCAAAGAGGATATAACATTACTTAGGCATATAAGTGTTATTTTTCCAAAATAAGAGGTCCTGAAAAAAATAATCAATATATACATATGTCAGGTATATGATTAGACTTCATGCATAGAATCAAGGAAGTCAGATATATAATTCTTAAACCTGATAATTTGTGCACATAACTCATCTTGCTTTTTTCTGTCATAATTCTTATTACTTTTATATTTTCCTATGTGTTTATTGCATGCATTATATTTAGACCTATTTAGCTTATCACAATCTCTACAAGAAGTAGATATTGGAGAATTATAATGAATATAACATCTTTCTGATTTACTACATCGATCACAGATTTCTTCAGTTCTATGAATATATGAGCAATGGTATAATATCATTGTGATTATATATAATAATTACTTCAATCAAATATATAATTATTTTTGGCGTTTAGCTAAAATTTTTAGAATAATTAATTTTATTTTAAAGATTTATTTACTAATTAATATAGTTTCAATAACATATACTTTTTGTTGATCAAACAATGCGCATATACAAACAATGCATATATACAAATCAATAAAATGAGTTTATCTAGTGAAACAAAAAAACATCTTTATGAATCATTACAGCAACAGTGCTTAAATCAAAAGTTAGTCAAATATAATGAAGCAAAAAGGCTTTTTATGAGTTTAACAGATCTTGATTATAAACCTGGCTATAAAGAACATATATTTTATAAATACTGGCTTGCATTTAATAATTGTGCCAACTCAGCTGATAAAAATAATACTGCACTTTTAGATGCATATCAACCCAAAGAGATCCATTCTCAATATATAGTTCGAGTAGCAAAAAAAGGCTATACAGTGATTGATTATCCTTCCGAAGTTTATGGAATACCTGATGCCCAAGAATGTATTGATGAAAATTAACTACTTCATTTAGTAATCAATATTAATACAAGGCAAAAACCTAATTCTTCTGATCTTAAACTTCCTTCTCTAGATAATGAAAAAATTAATCGTGAGAATTTGATATCTTGAATTTTAGTCACTTGTGCAGATGCATTAAGTCTTATACCAGGATGCATGCCTTTCTTAAATTCTTTTGCATTAGCAAGTTCATTGAATACTAATAAATACAGCTGGCATATTATTTATCTTTGTGCCTAATTCATAGATTATAGAGAACTCAAGAGTTTTACAGAAAAAGTTATAGAATTAGTTAGAGAACCTTATACCAAATTCATTGATATTGGCCTTCCCAAATCATGTTTTAGTCTTCAACTTCTTGGATCAGCAAAAGAGGGATACATAAAAAGACCTGCTATCTCTTCTGTAAATAAGGAATTTAAAATTTTAGATGATTACCTAGTTCAGCCTAAAGAAAATTATTCTGTAATCTGGTCATGAACCTTTTTAGAGAAAAGGCCAGCAGAAGAGGAATACCAACCTATCAATGATGATAATGCCTTGGTTAAGGGAGCCAATTTAGTTATTGCAAATTTCAGGTGGCTCTAGATTGGAAGAATCAAGAAGGGATTCATCAACTTTCAAGCATAATCTGTTAAAGAATGCCCTATATGTAATGTTAAATATGAAAAAGACCAACTTTATAGATTTATTTAAAAAAATAGACATTTTATACTCAAGTGCTATCAGCAAAAACAATATAAACCAGATCACAAAGGGCTTAGTTTCGATAAGGTATTAGATAAAGTCGAATCAGAAGTAAAACTCAAGAAGTAGGGATTAATTGAAAGATTGCCCAAGACTGTAAAACATCTATGCCTAATTGTAGAATTATCTAAAAATAATATTAATGTTAAGGAAATGGAGGATGTTCTAGATGCTTTTCTAGACTTTTTAAGTGAAGAGCCTAGTATTACTCTTATTCGTTCTACTGTAGGTACTGGGAAAACTAAAATATTAAGAAAAATTTTGGCATCTTTAGCTCAAAGTGGTGCTAATTTACCTTGTACTATCTGGATTTTATATCGCAAAACTCTTAGTAATGAATCTGAAGCTAAACTTAAAGAATTGTAAAAATTTAATTTCAAAGTAGAGCAATATCAGAATATTGTGGCTGACCTAAAGACATGTGAGTGGGATCTTATTATTGTATAAGTTGAAAGTATTCTTTGTCTTAATTTTCAAGGAGGTTGTTCCTGTATAGCAATTTTAGATAAAGCAAATGCCACTATGTGTCAAATGGCTAGTGAAGTTCATACTTGAAAATCTTTCAATGCTATGCATGATTTGTTAAATGTAGCTACTCATGTTGTTGCTATGGATGCTTTTGCAAATGATTTAACTTTAGCTTTCTTAAAATCATATCAAGATGAGAATGTTCGAATTATTGATAATAAATATTAACCATGTAAAGAAGAGATTGTTAAATTTCTTTATGATTCAGATAAAGGTTCAGAAGCTATACATAGAGGTTTTAGAATGCTCCAAGAAGGTAAGCATATTGCATTTGTTATGACATCCTGTAAAAAAGCTTAAGCCTTAGCTAATCAAGCATCTAAATTGCAAAAACTAGATAGTTCATTTATTTTATCGCAAGTTTATTTTGGCCAAATGGATGAGAAACAACATCAAGATAATTTTGCTAATATTGATACTACTTGGAGTGCTCTTGACTGTGTAATTTATATAAGCACTGTGGAAGCTAGCATCTCTTTTGAAATCTCTGGTTATTTTGATGCAGTTATAGGAATTACTAATATTGTTACTTCAGTTCATATTAAAGCATTTGCTCAGATGTTATTCAGAATCTGCAACTGCCTATTACATATAGTTTTACTTCATCATAGCAAAAAATTTAACATTTTCAAAAAACCATGCCAGGAACTCATTCAGGCTGAACTTTTAGCATTAAGACCTGGAGACTTACCAACAATAATAAAAGGCCAGCATGCATAGGATAAAATTGCTAATTGTTATGCACTTAATTTATTTCCAGCAGTAGAAACCTATATCGAAGTTGAATATCAGAGATGCTTATTAGCTAAATACTTTCCTAAAATTCTTTGCAGTCTCATTGCTAGTACTGAAGTAACTCTTAAATTAATTTTGGTGGAAGATACTAAAAAAGTTAACAAGAAGAAAATTTCTCATACTATTAAGAATATTGAGGAAAAAATTAAAGGTGCAGATGCAGAATCAATAGCAAATGCACTTGATATTATTCTCGATGAAGCTGAAATTCTTAAGCAAAATCTTATACACTCTTTCATTAATAATATTGCTCTACAACATCATTATTTATGAAAAACATATGCTTCAGGTGATATTGGTAGCAAGAATAACATTCAGAACTGGGGCATGAACAATGACGATTAGATTAAACTTTGTGATAAAGATTTTATAGAAAAATATAATAACCCTAAACCTTTACAATATTTTAGAAGACTTGCCTATTATCGAAGACAAGGTTTAGATGAAATAAAGGTTTTAGAAAATCTGAAAATCAAAGAATCAATGCAATAGGAAGATTCATATAATTCTATGAATCCAGTCTCAAATGATTTACATAAATTTTATTTGGCAAAACAATAGGAGGAAGTACATGGTCTTTTCCAATCAGTAGGATTTAGTGATATTGATGATACAAAAATTCTTTCTGATGATGACATGACAAAAGTTTTCAAACAATCATAAAAAAAAATTGTTGAAATTCAAGAAGATGCCTTGCTACTCTTTGGCTTTAAATCCTAGGCTAAGGGAACTCCCAATCTCAAAGCTACAGTAAAATTGATTAATGCAATAGCAGGAAATTGGTGCAGTTATACTGTCAAGAGTGGGCAAAAAGAGAAGGACCAAAAGATCAAAGAGTATTAAAAAGCACTTATTGGATTTATCATGTGCCAGATAATAGAGCTAGGCTTATAACTCAAAAAGAACTAATAAATATAAAGTCAAATACTCCTAATTATTACCTTATAACTCCAATTTTTTTATTATATTAGAGATTGGACCTGTTACCTGCTCATCCAGATATCCCTACAGCCAACCATATATCTGAATATAGTAATTGTTTCACAGATAAAACTGTTATTCACCAGTTTCCAAAAGAGTAATCTAACGGATATCTGCGAGTATCTGCAGGTATCTACAGGTATCTGTGAGTACCTGTGGGTCCTGCGATTATTTGGGTATTAAGTAACCCATGCATCATTAAAGTTTATAATTGCATAAATGCTAGTATATTTTATAATGATTGTTTGCTTTTTTTAGGAAAGTTATATGATACATAATTATTAACAACAGGTTTTAGCAAAGCATAAAAGATAAATTTATAATGCCATTTTTAAAGAGAATATGCTACATTCATTCATATATACATACATACAGGATTATTTTTTTTTGAGTAGTAAATTCTCAGTATAATGCATAAAGTGACATGCATATTAATGTATTAACATAAGGCATAATGCCTCTGGTATAAGTTAGCAGGTTTCACAATATAAAATGTATAAAAAACAATGTATGCAATAACTTTTCTTTACTAACTTTCGATCCTTACATTCTTTATAAAATGGTATGTAAGAAACATTGTAGCATTCGATTCATAGTTTTAAATAATGCTATACTACCAGTTTTTAAGAAAAAAAAAACATTCCAATTTTTTTTTTTTTAAGCAGTAAATTCCCATGTATCTAACATAATGATTATTAAAATAGCATGCATAATGTCTCTGAAATAAGTTAGTAGGTTCCAGAAATATATTAATTGAAACATATAATTAAAACATAAGCAGATATTGACCAAGGTAAAGTCAAAGACGCAGAAAAAGTGTGATTTTATTTATAGAATTTTCAAATCCTATAAATAAAATTGCACTTTTTTCATGTCCCTGAGGTAAAGTATCAGTAACATATTACACAAAATTACTTTTTTCATGAAGTCCAACTATATATCACTAACTCTTGAACCTTACACTCCTTATATGCTATATAATGAACATTTAGCATTCAATACATAATGCCAAAGTGAATTACCATTTAGATCGCTTTTCCAAGAAAAAAAAAATTCATAGATTTGAGAGTTGGGTGTTTTTTTTTTTTTTTTTTTTATTTTTATTTTTATTTTTTTTTTTATTCTTTTAATGACCATTTCTATGATATAGTCATGATAATATATGATATTTAATTTTCCTTCAACTTTTTTTAGAGTAATCAAACTCTGCAGATCTTAAATACTACTTAAATGTTTTTTATTTAACAATTCCTAACCTTATTGTAGCAATATCTAACATCAAATTTTATTGGATTACAAGAACCATTCAGACACCTTTCATTCATTTATTTGCTTTATTTTTTTGTCTTTCTTTTTTTCCTATTCTAACTTCAACATTTAGTTGTCCATTCTACTGTTACTTCTGGTTTACCTTTCGTCTTGAGTTACATAATTTCATTTTTGTAATACTATCTATTTATAATTTATAATTTAATCTATTTAAAATATCTTTTATTCACTTTTGATAACTTATATAAAAAAAATCCATTGTTGATTTATTCTTTATAGTCATTCACTAGTGATTAATAGTTTTGAACTTTTTATTTGAATAAGGCATATTATGGTTTAGCCTGAATCTTCTATAGATAAAGCTTTAGAGCTTTAGATTATGTCGTAAATCTGATGTTACCTTGAATTTGAATCACTTGCATATTGATTATTTTTTTAACATTATTTACAGTATACATATGATGATAACATTCAATTAATAGTCTATTAAACTATAATTTTTATATAAATAGGATCTCTGTCCTAAATTTAAACATTTTTCTCTTAACTTGGTTTGGAAAGAGTAGGAAAGTGAGAAGATAATTATTAGTTAAAAAAATCATTTACTTTTAATTTTCAAAGCTTTGTTACTAGAGTTTACATATATTCATAATATCTTATAACTTTTAATCATGTACAAATATGCATCAGCTCCATAATAATCTACAAGAAAAGAATTACCCTATTTTACGCAAGAATTGTATGTATAACATGGACTGTATAGAACAAAAGAACATGTCTAGCTCTATTTGTTTAAGCAATACTGAGCCTGGATCCAAAAAAAATTTTGATAGCAATGATTTCTTTACAAAACAATCAAGAAAATGCAACAACTTATCTAAAACCACAGCAAAAAAAAAAAAAAAACTTCCAATGAAAGCATAATTAGTATAACTTCATTATCAGAGACATTAAGTGATGACAATACTAATGAGCATAATAATAATTATGTAACCAATGAACATAATAATGAACATGTAATTAATGATGATAATGAATATGTAATTAATAAACACGATAGTGATGATGTAAATATCAGTATACCTGAAGGTAGTTCTAGCATGAAACAACCTCCTAAACTCAACCTTAAGGATCTTCAACTTGTACCTATTAATAAGGTACCTGAAAAAAGTTGGATATAGAGTTACTATGAATTATATAAACCTGTACAACTGTATAAACAGATTGTAAGATGTTTGTTCAAAATTAATAGAATCAATAGGCTTCAACTATGTGGGCATTTAATGAGATCAACAGACACTTCAACAGGTAATTTTATTGGTTACTTGGTATCAAGACATGGAATCATGAAAGAATCTTACAAACTTCAACAACAGCAATCTAAACAAAAAAACATTGATGAAGTGTTCTAAAGAATAGCTGCAAATGATCCTAAGTGAAAGGCAAGAAGAGATCAAAAGTTTATTAGTATGCTGGTCAAGGATCAATTGCCTATCAATATACAAGAAGGTGCTGGTTTTGTTGAATTCTAGCAGAATTTGACTCTAATTATCAGCTACCTAGTGAAAGGCACTGCCGAAAATTACTTACAGATGCTTTCTTAAGTTCTAAGGAGCATCTTAAAGAAATGCTTAGTAATAATTTTATAACTTGCTCTTTGACTTGTGATCTGTAGACAGGACAGAATCGTATAGGGTACCTCAGAGTTACCTGTATATTTATTGACAATGATTTTCAATTAAACAAAATTGTTCTTACACTCAAATATTTACCTTACTCGCACATTGCCGAAGCAATTGCAAAAGCATTAAATTTTATAATTGATGATTGGAAATTAACTAATAAGGTTTTTACTATCACGACAAACAATGGTAGTAATATGGTTAAAGCTTTGAAGTGCATGCCAAATATTGTTCAGATTCTATGCATAGCCCATACTTTGCAATATACTATTGGGAAGGAATTACTAGATGCTAAAACTCTTATAGCATGTGCCAAAAGACTCATATTGTTTTTTACTACACCCAAACAAACTGAGAGATTAATTGATATTCAAAAAAATCTATATCGATTTGAAAATATAGTAAGTGCAGAATTTAGAATTTTATTAGATTAGAGAGAAATCTAAGTTAGGGTAAAGGTAGAACTATAATATTTTAATATTAACAATATTATAATAATAAACCATCAATGCATTTTTTTATTATTAATTTAAATAATTTGTGATATTTAATATATATACGATTATATGAAATAATTAAATATAGATTTGAAATAAATTAGTAGTGTATAATATCAAAAATTCTAATAGATTACAAAATTTGTACATGAACTCTAGAATGCCAACAATAAATATTTTAATTAACACATAATGTATAAAAATTTATTTATAAATTTAGAATCTAAAAAATAATGATCATCAGTTATGAATTATTGCAGATGTTCTTACAAGATGGAACTTGTCATTCCTCATCTGAAAATGACTTTTACAAATTCAGGGTATAATAAGTGTGATGATAGCTAATTTAATACTAGACAGTGATTTACAAACTTGGAAAGATGGTGTTCGTCTGAAAAAAATTAATCTAACAAGTGATAAATAGAATGCTATATTATTATTAACTGAAGTGTTGAGGCCTTTTGCTGAAGTGACTGAATTATTGGGAAGCAGCAAATATGCCACGATCAGTTTTATGTATAGTGCAATTGTCATAATTAAGCAAGGGCTTCTTTCATTTAGTAAAACTTCAGATATGGATTTTGATTCTGCTGATGATGTTTTTGAAAATGATGTCATTTATGAAGATGAAGATGAAAATAGAATACAAGAAGACTGTGCATCAAATAAAAAGTGGCATTGAATTAAGATTAATAATCCACAAGATTGTACAAATCTTGAAGGAAAAATAAAGTCAGTGTTATATGATGCTATGATTTATTATTAGAACATGTCTAGTGATAAAGCCATGTTGATGATACTTTTGGATCCTCAGTGCAAGCCTCTTTCTTTTATATCAAAATCTCTAAAAAAAAATATATATAAATTGCTTAAAACCAAATATAAAGAGTTACAGGTTATGTATAGAATAGAAGAAAATGATAATCTGCAAAGTCAATCTAATTCTTTATTAGCTTTAATGTTTCAAAATAGATGCCCATGGTTTAAAGTCTCAGATTATCTTGAAGCTCAAGAAATTCCATGAGACCAATGTCCACTAACCTGATGACATACTAATCAAAAATGGTTTTCTTTGTTAAGTAGATTAGCTTAAAAATATTTGGCTATTCTAGCAACTTCGACTACAAGTGAAAGACTTTTTTGTGACACTGGGAATACGATGACAGAAAAAAGAACATTACTTCTACCTACTACTTTTGAGCACCTAGTGTGTCTAAAAAATAACTGGAAGGTTACTGATAGTGTGTTTCTGAACACAAAAAATTAATAAAATAAGTAAGAATCTTATATCTCAATAATAAAATCAATTATAAAAAAAAGTCTATACATACTAATCAAAAGTCTTTTTATTATTAGACATGTATGTCCATAGCAATTAAAACATTGAACTGTTCAGCAAAATCTCTGCCTTTGGCAGATTTAAATGTTACTCATTAATATTGATCCTGTCTATAATTACTGCAATGTTATGCAAAAATTTATAATAGTCAAAAAGTATTTTTTAGAGGAGTATAGTATCAAAAGTTGCTAATACAGCTTTGGTGCTATCATGTCAGAAATATTAACTGGATAGTTTAGATTTGGGATATAAGACTGCATACTTATTAAATTGTAAATCTTATAAAACATTAAAAATTTTATAAATATCCTCTGCTTTTCTAAAATCTTAAAATTCATTCATAAAATCTTCTATTATCTGCATATGAAATACGTTAAGTGCATCAATTATATATCAAGCTTTATACTATTTAATTCTTTTTAAAGATTCTTGAGTGCATCAATAATAGATAATTTGCTTCCTCTAATGTAGCCAACTTTCGTATGCCATCTAGCCAATTTACTGAAAATTAGTGTGAATTTATAAAATGGTTATATTATACTATACGTAACATGTAGATGTTGTTGTGCTAATTTTTACTAATAAATAATAATTGGATCATAATCATAGGGTAGGTACTTTATTTATTGCAATAATTAATAATGAAATGCAGCTAAATCAGATAAAGGGAAATATTTAAATTGTACAAATATGGGCTGCTATTAAGCAGACTGACATTTAAAAAAATTAATCTCTTAACTTTAATAATTTATATCCTAATGAATTTTAAGGTTACCTTGATGGATTAATATTCAAAAGAAAGCTTAAGATCTAGATTTTTTTTTTGAATATTAATTCATCAAAATAGCCTCAAAATTCATCAGGATATAAATTATAAAAGTTAAGGGATTAATTTTTAAAATATCAATCTGCTTAATAGCAACCTATAGAGTTGTTTGATTAATAAATATATAGATGAAGGATAAAGTGTAAAGTAATGGATTAGAATAGTGCTCAGCACTATCAAACAAAAATTTGACAGTCCAATACTTGCGATTAAGTTAGACATCAAACAATCACTAATTAACCAATTTCATACATATATGTATATACAAATATATATGTAGTATTGAATAATCTGTAATTGTTTGATGTCTGACTTAATTGCAAGTATTTAACTGTCAAATTTTTGTTTGATTGTGCCAAGCACTAGATTAGAAGAATAACATATAGTCTGATAAAATGATTATACTTTCTTTAATGTTTTAACTATCATTAAACTGAATCCTTTAGCAGTGCCTAAAGTTAAACTGTATATGTTCATTTATGCTTCCAATTCTGGGCATTACAATGTGCCATATTGTTATATGTATAACTACTTTACAACTTTATATGACTGTAACTTACATATTTGTTATATCCTTATTAAATATTCAAGCTACTAAACTAGTCGGATTTCTTATGATTTTCTGAACTCAATTGTTAAGCCATGCTATTAGTGCCTTACTTTGTTCTTCAATAAATGAGTTATTATTATAATAAAAGCCAGATTTGAAATGATCAATAATTTCTTCAAATTTACTGCATTACTATTCATTTATCTGTAATTTATCTGGTTATCTGAATACCTATAGAATTATCTGATATCTATAAGGGTTATCCAGATAACTGTAGGGTTTATCCGATTATCTATAAATTAAAAACTGGTAGTTATTTGGATACAACTTTTACAAAAAGCATATTGATAAATGGATAAACAGATATCTGGGTCCAAACTCTAAATACCACTTACTTCTCATAATACTAATATAACATAGGTGGTTTTCTAAAGTTTTATTGTCAGTAGGTTTGAAACTTCTAACCTACTACTTGAGAGGTTGACAACTTAACCACTTCACTAAGTTGCCACATTCCAAGTTATATAATCATAATTAAAATACAATAAAGGCAATAGCTGCCAATAACTACAGCCTTAGTAAAAGCAAAAAAAAAAAGTTTATTTAAATTCTGGTATTTATCTTTCAGATATTTTTTTTATCTTCTTCTACTAATTGCAACTAAGAACTGATAGAATTTTTCAAATTTCTAATTCTAATAGCCTAGTATAGTATTCTTTTTTTTTTGATAATTTTAGCAACTTGGTTGGTTATATGCTTTTCTATATATCTTATTATTTAGTTTATCTGTCTATTCTTATTGAAGATATTTTATAAGCTTTTATTAATCTAATAGTATTATCAAAAGTTTGTGCTATCTCTTTATTTAAAAATTTTTAAATAGAATTATCTTCTTAGTTTTTTAGTCTTCTGTGCCTAATAGTTTTATTTATTTATTTTTTTTTTTTAACCTTAAGCAGTTATGCTAGTACTTTATTAAGATTTTTGAAACTATGCATTTATACAATTACATAGAATTTCTCAATATCTAAGTCTAGCATCACTCGGCCACCCTAACAGTACCTAAGTGCAATCTGTCATACTATTTTAGTTAAAGATAGACTGCTCATATAACTACTTAAAGCCATACCAGAAGGGTCTTCTCCCTTTTATAACAAGTATATTTATTGTCTTCAAGGCTTCTTTCTTCATTTGGTCTAACTTTTCTGCTTTTCTTTCTTTTTCTTCTTTTTTTGCTTGTTTATCTTTCTTTATCCTCTTTTCTGTTTTTTCTCTTGTACAGGTGCCTTTTTTTATTTTGTTTGTTATATTGATCTTTTTCTTCCAGGCTTGTATTTTTTCATATCATACTCTCTATACTTGGTCATAGAAGGTGTTCCATACTGTTCTTGTTACTATATCTATGCACTTCTGTGTTGCCTGCCTGCTTAAGAGTCACTTGAGTCTTTCTCCTACTTTTAGAATCTTGAGTCCCTTTATTAGTACTCTTCTGTTTGTAATTTCTTCAGTTTCTGTTTCTCCAAATACTGCTTTGTATAGAATTTGTGATGAGATTATGTTTTTTTTCTCTTTCTTGAGTTTGTTCTATGCTGTTGTTATTGCAACTTTTTGAATTCACTTCTACAAGCTCTTTTGTCCACTGCAACTCACTAAATATGCTTGAGTTTCTTTTTCTCCAACTTGGCATACTTGGCACTCTGCTATTGTATATACTTCTGGCCTTTTTTTATTTAGCTTCTTAAGTGTTAGTAGGCTATCTATTATGCATTTAATTGCTATAACTCTTCTTGTGCTGAGTTTTCTTAATATACAATAGACTCCTTTTGTTCTGTTCATTTCTTTCCAAAAGCTTGACCAATTATGTAATGCATTTTTTGTATTTGGTTCTAATGTTCGTATTGGGTTTGTTTTTCTTCAACTAGCTTCTATTCTGGAATTTGCTATTATTTTATACAGAAGTCTTGCTAGTATGTCAATTATCTTGTTTTTTTATTCTAAATGATACTCTATCCTATCACTTTTGATTTTATTTGCATATATTTTATCTTGGCAATTTGCTTCTTTCTTTGCAAAAGAGTCTGCTCTGTCATTCTACTTGTTTTTACTATGGCTTTTAACCTTGGTTAATTCTATCTTAATGTTCTTGCTTTTGATTAGACCTACAATGCTTAGTATCCATATTGCATTTTTCTTCTTCAGAGCTCTTTCTTCTTCTGTATTCTGAAGTGCTCTACTAATGTTTCTTAATACTGCAATGCTATTTGTAAACACTTCTACACTTTTTTTTTCTGGTATTATTAAAATTGCTGTCCATATTGCTGCTAATTTTGCTATTATTGCTAAAGGCCAACCTTCAAGTCCCAATGCGATTTCTTCCTCTGGCCAATCTTCTTCTTCTTCTATTTGCACCCAACCAATGCCCATTCTTTCTGTGATGTTTTCACCTTTCTTCTTGTATAGTGCTCCATTAGTATAAAAGTTGTATTTTCTCTTGTCTCTCTTCTTGTTTTGTGTTAATATTTTACTAACTGATTTGTAATCATGCTGTTTAATTTCTATTTTCTAATCAATTTTACTTTTAATTTTTCTGTTTGTCTCATTTCTAACAACTTCATCTTGTCTCCTTTCTATTCTTCTATTGCTCTATCCTTTTGTATCTGTTCTAATATTGCATTTATCCTATTATTAGCTTTCTTTATTAGTAACTTTGGTATTACTCTCATATTGTGGTCTTATTTTATTCATCTTTCACACTTGTTAGTCATTTGTTCTGAGCCATTTTCACAATCTTTGTATCTACTTAGTTCTGTTACTGTCCTTCCTTTTTTTGTATACATTGACCAGTGTTCTGTTAGCATCTTTATCTTTTTCTTCTTAATTACTTTGCCTAATTGTTAGTTGTGTTTCGGTCCATAAGTGATTCATTCTTTTTTCCTTCAGT